GAGAGAGAGAGAGAGAGAGAAAGTGAGAGAAAGAGAGAGAACGAAAGAATGAATGAGAAAGAGGAACTCGGCGAGTAAGATTTGTGCGATTGAAACACTGAATCATTTGCTTCTCTTTTCTTTTATTTGTTTTTCTTTTTAATATATTATTTTCTTTCTCTTTTCCATGTCTTTCAATTGGGCCAAGTTATGCAAATGCATCAATCAATAATAATAAATAAAGTAAATTTTGGGTTTGATAATTTGTTGAAAAAATCATTGATAATATGTGTTGTTAATTTTCTACAGAATATTAATCGAGTTAAAAAGTTAATATAGCTAGCAATGTTTTGTCACAATTGAAAGGTTAATAAATTTCTGTATAACTTGATTCTCAATCGATAGAAAAAGATGAGAAGATTGCAAGAAATTGGAGAAACTTCTAGGCGAGACCTCTTCTCTCTTTTAAAAAAATAAATAATATTTTGGATGAGTTGTCAAATCGGAGAGTTTAAAAAAAAATAATTTCGACGAATAATATTTATCCCGAGGAAATAATAATAATGAAATAAATAAACATGCGAATAAAAATAATAACGCAAAGTGTCTTTTAAATTTGATTCGAAGCTTCTGCGGAATATTTTTGTTGTCATGATTTATGACAGAGAATTCATCTCGTACGTGTCACTTAAACGTGCAATCAACGATGCCGATTAATTAGTCCACGTTTCGATTGGTTTTGCCCATCGAGAAAGTCATTAGTCGGTGCTTTTCCACATTGACGACCCTAACGACGTACTTCTAAACCATTCGATGTGTTCGCGAGATTTTCTACTACGTACCTACGTATTATATCCTATGTTAGTTATCTAATTGCACGAAAATTTAATGGACGATTAATATACCATAAATATTTTACATTCATTTTTATATATTTATTTTTTTTTCTTTATTATATTCTAAAAAACAGTCATTCTATCGATAATCCTTTATGGATACGAGGCATGGTCACTTACCTAAGAAATTTAGGATATTCGAGAACAAAATACTTCGTAAAATTTTCAGCACAAAACGCGATGAGGAAACGGGCAAATGAAGAAAATTACAGAACGTGGGATTAGGTATATTGTATAGTATAGAGCAAACATTATTAACGTCATAAAATCACGCCGATTAAAATGGGCTAGCCATGTGGCGCGTATGGGTGAAGAACGAACCACGTATAAAATACTTAGTGGTATACCTAATGGAAAGAGACCATTGGGTAGACCAAAGCATAAATGGGAGGACAATATTAGAAGGGATATTAAGGAAATGGGATATGAGGAACGGGCTCAGGAACGAGAACACTGGCAGGATTTGGTATATGCAGTAATGAGCTTTCGAGTTCCTTCCCAAACGTCACTTAATAATAATATTATTTATTGTCAAAAATACAGATATGAATTGTTTGTTCAAAAAGTCAAATAAATTATTTCTCACGGCAAAAAAAAAAAAACAAAATTATAATTTATCTTGTTAAATGTGTGAAAAAATGAATTATCTCGTAAAACACAAAATAAATCAATCGAACGTGTACTAAGAAGATTAAAAAGAAGAAAATTATTTGACGAGAATAAATCACATATTTATGATGCTTTACCAGATACATCTCTCCGATTTGCGCGAGTCATCGTATATATATAAAAAAAAAAAAAAAAAAAAAAGAAACCTTTTTAAAAGATCCACGTATTGCGACGAACGAGATGTTTACTTAAATTCGATATATCGAGTTGGGGGTGGAGATAAATGTTGTTGCTTTGCAGTAAAGTCATCGTCATCGTTCCTTTCGAATTTGCCTTTAACTCTTCTGTGTCACGCTATTATATTTTATTTTTTTTTTTTGTTATTCGTCGTCGCACGCTTTCCACACGTTTCGACGAGTAATAAAAAGCTTTACTTCATTTTTTCTTCTCCTTCTTCTTCTTTCTTCATCTCGCGTGAAATAAGCGCGCACACACCGAAAATCTCAAGTTGTTCCAGTTCGTCGGCAAATTTCGTGGATCTTGAGAAAGAGATAAGTTCGAAAGAAGTCGCGTGGTGAAAGAGGAACGAAGTTGAGTACTATTTAAGTACTTAATTATAAATGTATGTATGTCATCGTTTCATCGAAATATACATAAGTCAACTAGCGTGTTTTTCTTTCTTGCTTTCTATTTCGCTGTACCAGATGTGCAATCAGGTAATTCATCAACTGTGTGTATGTGTGTGTGTGCGAATGCGTGTGTGTGTGTGAAGGAAAAAACAGGGAGAATGTTCAACAGAGAAAAACAAAGAGAGAGAGAGAGAGAGAGAGAGAGAGAATGAATGAATCAAAACATATTTTTTAAACCACCGAAAAATTTGAACGAAGTCACTTAATTTTTCTTTTTTTTCTTTTTTTTCTACTGAAAACTACTGAATTTTATGAATGCGTCCAAGAACCTGATACGTATTAAATTTTAATATATTAACGTCAACGTCGCTGCTTTATTTTTGTGTCATAACTTTGTTCTTTTATTATTCTCAGCAATATTAGAATTTATTTTGTTGACACGATCGTATAATTTGAGATCCGTCAAGTTGGTATCAGAATTACGCTATGTTACATATGTTTGTTATCTGTTTTAAACAATTTTAGAATATACTTTTATAAGATTTTGTCCACCTGTTCGCATAATTTGAGATTCCATTAATTGAGTCAGTATTTTTAAAGATTTTCATTTATTACTTTAAACGAATAATCAATAATATATTATAATATATTATCAATATGCGGACTTCAATGTATTTCTCTATCTCTAATATAAATATTAATTATCTATTTAAAATATTAACTATAATAATAATTATTCCATACACAACATAAAATGACCATAATATATTATACAATAATACCGATCGAATAAAAAATATAAATCAATCATTTTATTATCGAAAAATCAATACAAAATATATTCGTGCAAGTTTCTACAAAAAAAAAAAAGTCAATAAAATATCAGATAGTTACTTCCATCAAATATCAAGTTCTTGAATGAGTTCGTAGAATTCGTAGATTAAAAAATCGGTCGGCAATATTCGAGAAAGGGAAAAAGTTAGATAGAGAGAGATAGAAAAAAAACAAGAGGAAGACTCTGTGTGTATGTGTGTGTGTGTGTGTGTGTGTGTATGTGAGAAAGAGAATTTAAGAGAAATAATTCAGAGCGTGTATATATTTGAAGGATTCAAATTCGAGGTCGTTTCAATTTCCCGGTGGTTTTTCGAGTATTCGATATAAACTCGCGCGTCAGTAACGATCGATGTCGCATGAAGGTGTTATGCGCAGATCGGCCGTGTGTGCGCGCGCGCACCGACTTTAAACTAGATGGCGACTGTCATAGAAAAGAAAGAGAGAGAAATCGTAAAGCTAGATGTGATATATATATATACAATATATATAAGATGAAAAAGTAGAAAATATTTCTTTCACGTTTGTCTGGCGTGAAGAATAGAATGACTTATAAATACGTTTTTATTCCTGTCGAATAAACTGGAGGTGGTAAAACGTGCGCGTATGTGTAGAGAGAGAGTGTTAGGAACGAATAGTAAGAGAGAATTAAACATAAATCATTTTCATATCTTTCTTTTGTTTTTCTTTTCTTCTTCTTCTTATCGTTAATCTGACCGTACCTGTCAACAACCGTTTTAACACGATAAATATGACACATTTTGTCGCGATACGAATTCATTCATTTATTTTATTTATTATAGAATAATTATTGTAACTATTATAATATATAATTTGTATGTGATTTTAGTTTATATTTCGGATTGAATCTTTGTATATAATTTTTTTTAATGAAGAGTTGATTTAATGTATATAAAAATATTAATTTATGGTGATATTATTTCTTAGAAATGATTATTAAATAGTTATTAGAGTAATTATTAACAAACAAAAAGAAAAGAAAAGAAAAGGATAAATTTTAAATAACATTGATAAATAATACGAATATTATTTTGAGTATAGTTACGCGTTAATATATTTGAACAGAGTTAGCTTTTCGCATTGTAATCTGAATTTCGAAAAGGCGGCCAAGTTCGAATTGTAAAGCACATCGATAATCGAATAGCAGTTAGACGGACGTGCGTCGATGTACGGTAATATCGAAGCGAAATTGAGTTGTAATGGAGTTCCCAGAGTTCGATGACAACAAGTAACATAAATGTCAATAAATTATGATACGCGTTTTACGTTGTTTTGATTTTCAATTTGCATAAATTTAAATGGGATCCCTTTTTATCACTTCTATCCTTGAGTTTAAATTTGTATCAAAATTATTTAGACTTGCCAAAAAGTAACTTCGGGGAGTGTTTATTATTTTTTTTTTTTCTTTTTTATAAATAATAAAAAGTATTCGATATATTATATCCAAACGAATAGTTCCATTAACATTTTTTCATTGAAAATTTTTAAGTATTTCACGTATTGAACATATTTTCTACATTACTTATCGACTAACCTAATATTTTTTTTTTTTTTTATTTTATTTTCCTATACAATTTTATCTCTCGTAAATGAAATTTTATTTATACCGAGGTTAGTCGAGCGTTGAATAATTTTCATGGTCCATACAATGTGAACTTAAACGGAGCGTATAATGGAAATTCAATTTTTTCATTTGTATACTATTCAATTTATTCGAACATTTTCTTACAAAGAAAGTAACGTTCAACGTATTACTCAATTTTACAGTAATGATATAATTAACAAAAACGTTAATACCCTTCCTTCTAATTTTATATATCATTTTTTACATTTATCTCATCGAACGTATTACGATATTATTATTATTATTATTATACTTTCTTATATTTTTTCTCTCTCTCTACTTTTGGTCGCCATCTTGTCCCGCGAATTCGCCAATCATCGACTAAATAATCAATCTAATCAATCTAATCAATCTTTTCAAACACGGAATCGAAACATCGGCTTCTAGGATCAGCACGTTTGCACATTTCGTTGCATGATGATTATTAGTGTTAGATATTTAAATAACTGTGATTAGAAGATTGTCAATTGTATGTGCACGCGTATATAGAAAATCACTTTGAAACAAAACACACTTTTTATCTTTAAAAAAAATTTCAATCAACGATTTTCTATGAAATATTTAATTTAAATTATAATTACATTTTTATATAAAATTTACATTTGTAATATATATGCCAATAGTATTAATGCATTCGTAATTGATTTAAAATGTATCTACGAATAAAGCAATTCGATTCACGTGTATCTATCGAGTAATTCATCAATGATTCCAATTTACATGCTCATAAATTATTCCATGTTCTAAGACAAGCTGTGGATCATTGATGAATTATTCAATGTTCTAAGTAAGATAAGACGTGAATCATTGATTAATTATTCTGTTAACATACTGAAATATCATTGAATCAATTTATTACATAGCCATACCGTTAATCATTGATTAACTGTTCCGCAGAATTAATAATTATAAATAAAAGTAGATTTTGTATATATATTCGTATTAATAATGAAATATTTTCAATTGTAATCGTTGGTTATGAATTTAACATAAATGGAAATCGAAGCGTTAGCAAGATTTTTTTTTGCATCCCCCTCACCACCCCATTTATTATGCACGAAATATATTTTCTCTCTTCAATTGTTTATGCGAATAATTGTTATGCCAAAATTAAATATGGAATAATATATTTTAATTTACTCGCACCACTGTGTAATATTTTATACGTTGTGTAAATTCCCCATTGATCGTGATAATTTATCGTTAATTAAAATAAATATTATTCAAGAATTTATGGTAACAAAAGAAAAAAAAGAAAAGAAAAGATACGGGAATTAGCATAAACGTCTTAATCCGAACATTCTTAATGAGCCAACTGGTTTTTCTTGATTATCGGTTAGATTAATTTACAGTCATGAGCACCCTCTTATCCTCGTATCCTCTTGCTCGTTTGTTCCAAGAAGAAAGATTAATTATCATGGCGTTAGTCACCCTCTGATGAGTAGAAAAAAGTAGAACACCAATGGCGAATCCATGACTCGCAATTCACTTTATGACCCACGAGAGAAGTTTTAATGACCCGTGAATTTTCAAAAAGTTCAACAAAAGTTTTAGAAATTCCTAAAGAAAAGAAAAAAAACAATAGTATTCCAGAAAATTGTCTACCATACGAGAGAGTGATACGCGTTATAATTTATTTATATTTTATTTTTAATAATGTACAATCTCTCTGAAAATGTGAGTGAAATTTAATTACATCTACATCTGTGGATAACATTTTGATCTTAACAAAATTTGATATCACAGGTTTAACAACATATTTCGACTCTAGTTTTAAATGAGATTACATTTGTTTTGTATTACAAACTTTAAATAATTCATTTGTTTCGAATTTTTTACAGAATGTATTTTTTTGGTTTGTTATTTTAATAGACTACCAAAACAAATTCTTAGTCATCAATGGAGTTGAATATTGGACGAGTTAGTTTTCTTAGTTCAAACGAAGTTTTCTTCGGAGTAGAATTAACGACACTCGAGTTCTTGCCATTGACTTGATTTTTCTTCCGAACTTTAAACTCCAAGTCTTTGGATCGTGTTCTTAACGAAGATTTCTTTCTTTCTTTCTCGGATTTTTTTTTCTCTACTCTTGATTAGAGTGTACTAACGTGCATTTATTTCGAGTAGGTTCATTACGAGACAATTATAACTTTTCTGTATTTCATCAAAGAAATGTTATTATATTCGTGAGTTTCTCCGTGTAATGATTAACTAAGAATATTAGGTTAATTATTAAACTCCATTGATTATTCTGACTTATACGTCAGCACGCGTCAGATAAAAAATCGGCACATTGTTATATTTTCTTCACATATTATATTGTTCCTACATGTGTTCTCTGCATGTGTTTGTTTTTTGGTGTATTTAAATATATTCAATGATTTACATCTACGTGTACACACACATATATAATATATACGTATACATTTAAAATAAACACGCTTTTTATATACAATACATATATTATTATTATAGTGATATTTTTATATTGTACAGGAAAAATCACAGACGACACTTTTATGCATTTGCATATTCAACTTTTCTTCAATTTCTTTTTTTTTTTTTTTCACATTCTGTTTACACGAACCTTTCTACTAATGTGAAATGCAAATAAGGAAAAAGACGGTAAATAAATAAATAAATAAAAAGGGATAACATTTAATAAACGTAGTCACTTTTCGATTGAATTTATAAAAAAGGATAGAAAAATAAAAAAAAAAAAATAAGCATTACAACATGGGTAGAAAATTTGAGCACGCACCAATAGCGGAACAGTTGCTTAGCAATTTTTTGGCCTGATGGAAAGTCTGCGAATTGTTTTCAGGAGTGGGTGTTTATATTTCGAGAGTGGAAGAAGGTTCAGTGGCTGAACGAGCTGGACTCAGGCCAGGGGACACCATTTTAGAGGTGAATGGCACACCCTTTCATGCGGTGACCCACGAGGAGGCCCTCAAAGTGAGTTCACTTTCTTCTTTACTTTAAGTTTATATATATCCGATCTTATTATTATATTATTTATTTTCTTAAATAATGGATGTAATCAAAAGTTCGTGCGTTTTTAAATTAATATTTCACTTGCATACAAAGTATCTAATTTTATTGATTTCCAAAAATTGCACTATCTGAAACAACACCAATAAAACGCACGAACTTTTGATTCACCATAATAACATAAAATTGCTCAAAATATTTGTTTTACAATATATTGTTGATCGATGATTCTAAATGGTGCATCGAATTTTTTCCAAAAGTTTTAGATTCGATTATATAAACGTACGTGTGTAGAGTCAAAATATTGCTCGATAGTATTATTTATTATTAAAATATTAACTATAAAAAATTATTCGTGTTCGACGTGTTCCTATAAAAATATTTATGGAAGAATATTACGTAGGAGATCTTGTTATCAAATCGTAATATTGTTAAATTAACTGTTCCTATTGGAAATCACACGTAGATACAAATATATCTGTAAAATGTATCGTTGGTAAGTTTGAAAAATATTATCCATTAGTCCTGGAATGGTAGAGCTTGCAGTTTTCTACGAATGAGAGATATGATCGATGACCTTGCAGATAAAAAATATCTACAGCTAGCATGGAGAAACACTGAAATGGTTTTAACTCTTTTTCTCTCTCTCTCTTTTTTATTCTCTTTTTTTCGACTACGTTTGGTTGTTACGAGTGATTTGTTCATCTCTCATATGCATTAGGCAAGTTCATATATTACAAGAGTACCTTGTTATTCATATATATGAAGTGTTAACTTTCATTTTGTGTATTTTTCGGATTAACATATTAATTATATACTAAATCTTGTGTTATTTAACATTAAATTAACGATGCATATATTAAAATCTTAGATAAAAGATTTCAAATATATCCTGAGAAAAAAAAAAGAAAGAAAGGAAGAAATGATTTATACATTAGTTAAGTAGAATTTATAATTCATTTCAAAAGAACATACATATATCAATTTATACAAATAATTGATGTTTTGTATTACGAGAATACTAATACTTTTGCGATACATCATCATATACAAATACAAAATTTATCTTCGATTCAATAAGACGAAAAAGAAGAACAAAAAGAAACCCATCCACTTCCTTCCAAAAAAAAAAAAGAACAAAGATAAGTTTCGTGCTTGCGCATGGAATGAGATCAATATTACAGATAATAATATAATATCATGTATATACACATACACATACATAATACGTACATAATATAAGGGTGTGCAAAAAAAAAATATATATAAGAATCGAAAGAGATTGACGGATGGCTGACGAAGTGGAAAAAACAATTGCTCGGAGGTACGGGAATGGCACACCACGCCAATAATCTTGACTATGACTACTGTGTAAAACGTAACCGTGTGGGATCTGTTCTGCTATCTCTGCATCCAGTAGCTCGTCATACTTTCATACTACTAGAAGTTCACTAGAATATCCAGACAAAAGATTCCCTACCGACAATGGCCCATCAGGATAATATCAAACTGGCTTGCTTGGTAAAGAGGTGTACGAGGCGTTAGCTGGGTGTTTCGAAAAGAGCTAACGGTGGTACTTCTTCCAGTTTAGTGGCACACAGAGAAGGGGCTGCAGGGATAGGGGGGGGGGTGTATGCGCTAAATCCTCCTAATGCTAGTTCTAATCCTACGTAGTAGCTGTATTTCAAGCTTTACGTCAATCTCAATCTTTCTCTCATTCCTCGACGACTCTCCCTTTTGTCTACCAACCTTTTTTTTTATTCTCCTCTTTTTACTCCCCCTTTCCCGGTTTCCCCCTCCCTACAATCCAAAAATCCTTCGAAACTTGCTCGCGACGGTAATTCTGCTTTTTTTTTTTTTAAATTATTTTAAATCGTAACTTTTTATCCTACAAATATCGCAATCGGTATTATTATTATTATTATTATTATTATTATTATTATTATTGTTGTTTTTTCTTTCTCTTCTTTTTTCGAAGTTCTTATCGACATGTTTGTAGGGGGGGGGGGAAATAAAAGAAACGGAAGTATGTGTACTACTTTTAATCTACGACGTATGGTGGTGGTGGTAGTCGATAGAAACGTGTGGTTTTTTCATTTCTTTTTTTTTTTCGATATTCTCCGCCTATCATTTCTCAACCCCTCGTGGAAAAAATTCTCGTTACTTTGTGTTTTTCAATGGTTACTTTCCAGGTTCCCTTTTATGCTCGTACATTGTCTACCTACTTTGAGAAAAATAGTCTTAATCGATTACCCTTCGATACGATCGAACACTTTCAATGATAGTTTATTTGTTTCGTTACGATTATCATTTGATATTATTATCAACACGATTGTGTATATATGGTGTATTAAATGATAATCATTTGAATTTTAAAAATGTTTCTTTTCTCGTGAAATGGATAAACAAGAATAATTCTACATATGTTTCAACGTTGTAAGAAAATATAAGTATGATATATTATTAAACTTTTTGTTCGCGTAGCGGGTAAAGAAAAATTGCATATTTCGTAACGAACAAGTTGCTAAAGCTTGTTATTTATTCCTAACCATTAGTTATTTTATATTCACAGACTGTTATGGTTCCTCTCGCACTTTTTATTATTTTTTCCTTTCCTTCCCTTTAAACTTCTTTCTCATTGTTTCGTATTTTACTTGTTTTTCGGAAAGGGGAAGGTTTTACTTTCTTTTCTTTTTTATCTTTTCTCACAACGAGTTCGAAGTAACTTTTTAAATATTATCCTTCAACATCTTCGTTAGGGATTTGTTTCCTTCCTTAACAGATCTCAGAGTCGTTTATAGATCGTAGAGATGGAAATAATAATAATAATAAAAAAAAAAACCATATTATCAGACAACATTAATTTTTTCTCTCGCAGATTTTCTCGAATATTCTTAACTCGTGTGAAAATGCTGACGCTTACGGTAGGATCCTTGTTTTAAAAGGTCAGGAATTGTTACGGGATAAAATAAAATTGCGTGCGGATGTTTTATAGAAAAGAAACGACGATATAATAAAAAGAACCATTTAAAATTTCTTCCATTTTAGAAAATAGAAATTTCCTAACGGGATTTCTATATTTGTAAGAAGAGAGACATACACTATATCTGTATATATATTTGAAGGAATTTATTCTCTTCTAGTTGTATCGATCGTGAAAGAGGACAAAACCTCGTCGTCGTCCTTCGTGGTTTAAGTCAAAGAGATGGGTGTTCAATGACGACGACGACGACGACGACGACCACGACCACGACCACGACCACCCTTTCCTAAGAAAGATACCTTAGCATTAATTATCTTAACGTGATAGTATTTGAAGCTTCTAATCATCGACTCGTTTATTTTATGATGAAATTAAAGCATCTAATGAACGCGTTCAAATCGAATTAATTTAGAAGCTCTTGTGTGCTATCTATTGAAAATATAATATTAATTATTATAATAACGTAAAATATATATATAAAATTGATAACAGCAGTAGAGGAAGGAAAGTATTATAGCAATAACCAAAAAAAAAACGTACGTTATAAAGAAGTTCTTTCGTAATCGACAAACTACAAGTAATACCTGTGCGCGTATGCGTATATTTGTGCAAGTTAATTGCATATTAATAATAATAGTAATAAGAAATTTATGTATTCTTTCCAAGAATATAGAAAATAATCGTTCAAATATTCGGTAATAACAACACGAGAATTTAATTAACTATAACTATAACTTAGAACATTTTTACGATTAATTTAATGGTATACATAAAAATACTTGATGAAATAAACGGGGGGTGTGAGGAGGGGAAAGGAAAGTGGTACCCTTTTCAATTATAAAATCAATCGTGTTCAGTTTAGAGTCGATAAAGGAAGAAGAGAGTTTAATACATAATCGAATATTAGTAGGAAGTTTGAAAAGATTGGATTAAAAAGAAGATACTTGATCGTTCTTTTTTCTCTAAATAAATTGAACAAGAACAAGTAGAAGAATAAGAATAAGAATAAGAAGAAGAAGAAGAAGAAGATGATTCTATCCAAGCCATAGTAGGGTGTACGTGTACGTGTTGTTGTGTTGATAACGAAGCTGGACATTTAATTCTTATCCACACGTTGCTTTTTATCCGAGGTTTATTGATCGACGTTAAACGACGACGGAAGGAAATAGAGGATTAAATTGCTTTGCTTGTCGTTAAGAGTAACTGTAGTAGTGTAGTAGTAGTAGTAGTAATAGTAGCCAGTTATTCCATAATGGCTCGTAGACGTTTCTTGGGGATAATGTTTGATAGGTCGATGGGAATTACCAATGGAGAAAGAAATATAAGAAGAAATTATAGGCCGACATGCGTAAGGAAATATTCGTAGAAACATGTTAAACGTGCTTTTTCATCCCTTATATCTTTCATCATACTATCTTCTTCCTTCTCACCCTTCTTCTTCTTTCCTATCTTTCCTTTTTTTTCTCTCTTTCTTTCTTTTCCTGCTCCTCTTTACTCTAATCCCAAACCCCCAATCCCAATCTTTTCCCTTCCATCCCATTTTTATTTTCTTTTTCCTCCTTTCGTTGAAACTTCTTCGAACGACATACTGGCGCCAGTCTACCAGGCGCCCTTCTTCGCAATACCCCCATTGTCATTTATTTTCCCTTACATGGTTTGCCGAGGCTACTACTGCCTGCCTGCCTGCCTGCCTTGAAAATCCTACCAAAGATTCTTCACAATTTTTACTTTCTCGCTCTTACGTCTTTCTCATGAATTCATAGATCAGTCTTATTACTTTTTTGTTTTTTTTTTACAAATAAATATTTTCAAAGGTTTTTTTCATTTGAAAATCAAAGTTAGATTTTAATTATACCAATGGCATAAAGTTTATGAATCAACTGATAGTTTGCACATCACTGCTATCGAATACGAAATTACGTAAATAGATAGATACATATGTATATACATTCACGTGTATATTTGTATCTATATACATAGG